CGTCACTTATGGTTAACAATAAATTTAATAAAAAGATGATAAAAAATGATACGAGAAAGAAATCTTAACTACAACAACCCGAATAACGAAAACTAAAGCCACGAAATCACACTCTCAATTAACTTTTAAATAACTAATAAGGGTACATTTTAGTATTGATAAAAAGTTGAAGGGCACGGCTTAGAAATCTTGAAAAAGTATGGGTACACCTTAGAAACTCAACTACCTAAGGGATCTAGTTTAGAAAGACCCTTTTTTTAAAAAAAAAAAATTTTAAAGTTTGCAACAAAAGTGGAATATTATAGGATTTAATTTTTGTAAGTGTTGAAAAATAGACCTTTGAAGTATCAGTTTGTATCATCACATGTAAGTGTTCTATATTGGTTGAATAAAGAGAGAGTTAATTACTTTATAAGGTTAAGAGGCTACTGTTGTTATTACCATACGGTTTTGGGATGAAACCTTCTTGGACTTGCTTGTGAAGTGGACTTAGTCTCTCTAGGTTGCAAGTGCAGCCTAGACCTGTATTTAACATGATATCAGAGTCAGGTTCACGCTATTAGACCATAAATGACTAAAGTTCACTGGGCCAAAAGTAGGTCCATGTGAGGTGGAGTGAAGAAGCACTCTAGCCAAGCTTAAAAAGCTTTAATACTTTAAAGAATCACATAAAACAAAGTTAAAAAGGGACCTTACATGTAAGTGAGAGTGTTGATCAACAAATATTTAACTTTAAGAGAGGTATTGTTCAACCCCTTGTATGTGCATAATTGTTGTTAAAAACTACCTTATAAAAGCTAAATGTTATAAGTTGCTACCATGTGCTTAATTTAACAATGACAGGGAAGGAGAATTAGGGGATATAAGTGAGTTTATGGATGTAGACACCCATTTGTGTCTCCTCAAAACCAAACCCAATGATGAATACCTTTCACGTCATTTGATTATCGAACATAACGAAAGTGTGAAAAGTTTAGTGATGAGAATGTTTTTATTAAAATATATCTTCTTTCTGTTTTTGAAAATATTTCTTTTTTTACCCTACTTTGAAAAACGTGCATTCGAGTTTAGTTTGGTCAATGACAAGGCTCCAATAATAGTATAGTTGGATAGGGCTTGAAAAGAGCTTTCTAACGATGTATTATAAGCCCAATTCCGATAAATAATGAGGAAGTTATGACCAAAATACTAAACCGGGCCCAAACCGGATTTTACCTATGACCCAATGATCATGTGGAGGCCCAAAGGTCTAATCCTATTCCTAAACTAATTAGGATTAATTGGAAGCTTCTATAAGTTTTTAAAAAAATCTTAATTATCCTTTTTGAAAATATAAGATTAAAGAATTTGAGTTAAATAAAAACTTTTCTTTTTTAAAACTTTCCTTTTTTTTAATCCTAATTCTATTCGAATTTAAAGATGTTCAACTACAGTCAGATTTTATTTTCGTGCCTCATAATCTTTATCCAAATTTTATATGGTTGGATAGATCTTGAAATTATATTTTCAACGATATATTATAATATTAAATCCGAGCTATAACGAAAAAGATATGAATGAGATATGAAACTCTATCCAAAACTGACACCCTTCCACTATTTAGGCTATATCTTTTTATCTACAAAATATTTTAATCTGATTTTAATTAGATTAGAAATTAGAATTCAAGAGATTTCCAACGACATATTATATGCCTTATTTGGATTTATGAATCAAAAGATATGATAAAAAAAAATTAATACTAGATACACCTAGCCAAGTTCGAAGTTGCCTTATTTGGACTTATGATTCTCTCTCCTTCTTTTCTAGCCTAGCCTTTTACAAACTCAGTTCTTCATACATTAGCACTAGACACACCTAGCCAAGTTCGAAGTTGCCTTCGCCCTAGACGTGAAAGGTTTTAATTTTTGAGGGTTTTGTCCCAAATCTCTATTTCAATTATTTAATTTAATTCTTTGATTTTGTTATTTTCCTTGAAGTTACTAACGTGTGTATTTTGTTATTAGAAAGAGGTACGAGGCATCCGAGTAAGTTCTTTAATTGATTTCATTGATATTATGATATAGAAATCATGTTTAGATTGTTATTATGATTCCTAGTGTCATGTTAGGGCGTTTTGATCTTCCTAGTATCATGTGTAGGGTAACAACTATAATTTCTATTATCAAATATGCTTATTATGATTCCTGCTATGCTTCTTATTTTCTTTCCTAATATTCATGATAGTATCATGTTAGGGTTAAAGCTTTGATATTTATTGCTTAGTGACATGCTAGGGTTTGTTATTAATCTTGTTAGTATCATGCCTAGAATCTTGCTATTTTGCTTTAACATGATTATTATTATTATTATTATTATTATTATTATTATTATTATTATTATTATTATTATTATTATTATTATTAGGGAAATTCTCATTGGTAGCAACAAACTATTGCACGTTCTTATTGGTAGCAAATTTTTTTTTAAAATCTCTTAAATAGCATTTGTAATCTAATAATTACTCTCTAATATAGCATTATTTTACTAAAACTAACATGATTAAGTTAATTGGACTAACCATGGTTACATAATATGGAATGGACTAAAATACCCCTTTTAATTTTGTAAATGCACTCCCACTGATCAATTAAAAAAGGCCCATTCATTGAAGACTTTTGTCGTTCAACACTTTCGAACATAGTTGTGCTGCTGCGTTGATGATTTTCGAGCGCTAAACAACAATTATCAATCTACCAATTTCAATCCTAATCTCTCCAAGGTGCTAAATTTTGACTTTGGGAAGGTATGTCATCCTATTTGAACCCTAAATTTTCAGTTTTTTTGAATTGAAATGTATTGTTGTTATAATTGCTCTGTTTTTTCCATGGATGATTGTTTGAGAAATCTGGGTTTTTATGTGCTGAAATTTTTAATTTTTCTGGTAATTTAGGGTATGTTTTATTGTTAATTGATGTGTGGTTTGTTTTGGGTTTTTATATGTGAATTTGTGTGGTTGTAATGGAGAAATTATTGTGTATTTTTAGGGTTGTTAGTTCTGTCCAAAATAAGTTGAATGTTACGAATTTATTGAGTCAATGTTGCAAGTTGAATTGAGATGTGTATTTGGTTTAATAAATGCAGAATGGGTGATGCTATTGTGTTGAAATTCAAGTTTAGAATTGGTGATGTAGATGTTGTTGTCGAGGACATCGATAAGACAAACCTTATCGATGTGATCATAGATTATTGGGATTATGCCGTTGAACGACGTATTGAAATGCCCAAATTCCCTACATTTAGATATGTGCATAACAAAAATTACCACTATCTTAATAGTGGTAAGGACTTAATGAAGATGTTCTATGACTTTGCTTGAAAGAATGAGATACACATATGGGTGTATGATGCTAATAGTCCAAGTAAAATTTTTAAAGATGCTAAGGCTTTAAGAACAACTAGGAATGCATGACAGATTAAGGAACAAATGAAAGGTGTTGCAAAATCTGCTGGTATTTCAGTCTCTGTTAACTTGGATGAAATGGGTGATTTGACTCAAAAAAGAGGTACTGTCAAAACTAGAGGTGGGAGGTGTGGGGGTAGGGGTGAATATAGAGGTGTGGTTAAGTTAGGGGATCAACCAAATGAGGATGAGGATAATTTAAATGCAGATGTTCAGTTAGTTGGTAATAGAGGGAGAGGGAGGGGGAGAGGGGTTGGGAGTCGTACAGGGAGAGGAAGGGGCCAAGATAGAGGGAGGGGAAGGGGTAGAGGGAGAGCAAGGGGTACTGGAGGGAGGGGAAGGGGATTTGAGTACTGGTTGAGCTTAAAACCGGGGACACAGAAGGAGTTGAATCAGGGATTGCAACTGACATAGGTGCTAATGAACCTGAAAATGGGCCTGAAATTGAAGCAGACATAGGTGTTAGAGTGGTCAGAAGAAGTCCAAGGAAACATAAACAATCTTATTACCCTCCACTACCATTGCAACCTGAACCTGTATCATCCTTATCCTCTAAAACACTAGTGTTAAGAAAGAAAGTGCCAAATACAACAACTAGGAGAAAAGGGTTGTTAGCTGCTAGTAGTTCAATGTCTATATCTAATGGTGGAACACATGACATAGTTTCACTTGAAGATTTGGATATGGACTCTGACCAAGAAGAAGATCCACCATTCACCCATTCTGGACAAGTCAATAGCTCTTCTAGTGATGCTAAAACTTTAGATGATGAAGAGGATATGCAACTAAGTGATGTTGATGATATGGTGGTATGTGATAACTATGACCCTTATGAAGATGATGATATAGAAGATGATGGGGATGGGAATTACTTTGAAAAGCTTTATAAAAATGGAGAAATGTTTGATAGAGAAGAAGATGGGAGAATAGAACTAAGACCATGGCAACTTTTTTGTGACAAACAACATTTAAGAGATGTTGTTAGAGATTATTGCATACAATGTGGGTTTTCAACTTTTTTGTGACAAACAACATTTAAGAGATGTTGTTAGAGATTATTGCATACAATGTGGGTTTTCTGTTGTTGTTGACAGATGGGTTCACTTGGGCTATCAAGTCTATTAAAAAACCTGATCACACATGCTTGGGTTTGGAGATAAAAAAAACCCTATGGTAACTGCAAAGTGGGCAAGCAAAGTACTGTTAGAAGACATTAGAGCTAATAATGATATATCTGGTCAGGCTTTGAATGCTTTGTTATGGAATAGATACAATGTGCAAATGGCTTCTAGTACTTTGTATCGTGTCAAAGCAAGGGCTTTAATAGAGATACATGGTGGCTTTGATGAATCTTATGCATTTTTGCATGGTTATTGTGAGATGATTAGGAGAACTAACGCTGGTTCAGATGCTACTTGTGTATGGAATCGAGCAACTCATGTTGACAGGCCATTGGCTTTTGTCACAATCTTCATTTCTTTTAAGCCTTGTTTGGATGGGCTAAGGGATTGAGTTAGGGGTTTTGTGGGAGTTGATGGAACTCACTTGAAAGGGAATTATGGGGGGGGGGGGGGTTCTACTGTCTGCTATTGCATTAGATGGGAACAATGAGTTGTTTCCATTTGCATGGGGAATTGTGTCTACTGAAGATTCAGATACATGGAGCTTTTTTGTTCATCATTTGCGAGATCTACTAAGAGCAACTGGAAGAGGAGATAACTGGTGCATTATCTCAAATAAGCAAAAGGTATACTTCTATAGCTATAAATCTATGTTAAATTGCATTTTTTTTTTTTTTTTTGCATTTTCTAGACTGATATTGATTGCCAAATTAACAGGGTATTGAAGCTGCACTTGACAAGGTCTGGCCAGATGTTGATAGGAGATATTGCACCAAACATTTGGCTGCCAATTGGAAGAAAGCATTTCCAGGTCCACTAATGCTCTTTCTGTTTTGGAAAGCATGTGGTGCCTATTCAGAATTTACCTTTAAGAAAGCAATGGAGCAAATGGACAAGGTTGGAAAAGGAGGAAGATTGTGGCTTGCAAAGCTTGGAGAACAATCTAGGTGGACAAAGCATAAGTTCAACACTGCAACAAAGTGTGACTCTAATAAGTCAAACTTTGTTGAGAGTTTTAATGCCACTCTTAGCATTGACATATGTAGACCAGTCCTTACACTTTTAGAAGATACAATTTTAGTCTGGGTATTACTTGCAATATTTGTTAGACCTGTCCTTACTTGCATTAATATGGCTACTTTTGTTTCATAATTTACTTACTTTTGGTAGGTATTAGAAGAAATACCATGGTTAGATTGGCAACAAGAAGGAAAAAGTATGAGGAGTGGAGCAGGACTGACATCTGTCCAAACATGGTGCAAAGGGTTCATAAGCTATGTCAGAACTCAAAAACTTGCCACTCTTAATTGTCTTCTGCCGGTGAGTTTGAGGTCTTTGAGGGTAAGTCATATCTTTTGTAAGCTTGAATAAGCAAACATGTGCTTGTGGTCAATGGCAAAATTCTGGAATTCCATGCAGACATGGAATGAGGGCTATATTAGATTCAAAGCTTGACCCTCATGCATTTTTGGATGAGTGGTTTTCTGTCAAAAGGTACAAGGCAGCCTATGCAAATGGGATTAAGTCCATACCTGATGCTCAACAGTGGCCTGAGTTCAATGTGCCAAAGATAATGCCACCTGAGTTAAAAAGAGGAATTGGGAGACCTTGCAGAAACAGAAAGAGAGATGATACAGAGGAAAGGAAGGGAAAGAAAGCTAAGACTGTTAGGTGCAGCAACTGTCAAGATTATGGCCATAATGCTCAGACTTGTAAGAGAGGAGCTACTGCAAAGCTAAAATGGGGTGGAAAGAAATAGAACACAAAAAAGGATACATCGTCTCAGGCTACTAATGTTCAGCTTAATCCTTCTCCACCTAGAAACACCAGACAGAGTCGCCAGATCGGGAGCTATTTGTAACTTTGCATCACAACCAAGAAAAGTGCAATAACTTATTATTTGAGTAAACATGGTGGATATTCTGTTTTTTGAGCAATATGTTTTTTGCTTGAACAAGTGGTTTATTTCAATTTGAACTTTGTTATGGATGAATGTCAACACCTGTTTTTGGGATCATTTGTATATTCTATCATTTTTGGGATTGAAAATGGCAGTTTGTTGATTATATATGAATGTCAATTCTTGTCAATTTTTGTGTTTATCTTGATTATATCAAGTGTGCTAGAGTAGAGACATTAGAGTTCAGAATAATGTGAAATTAAAATTTCATTTTTGTGCAGATTTAATGAGAGAATCCCCAATGCATAAAAAGCTTAGGTATGTTCCTTAGCTTCAATCCCACTGAATTATTTTTATTCAAATGGCATATTTTTACAGCAACTGCCTTTTCAGGTGAATAAAATTAATCTCCTGTTCCATTAACAAATGTGCTTCAATTATTAGTAACCTTAGCTCTGCTCTTCACATCAATAAAATTATACTCGTAGTCTTTTTCTATAATCATTCGGGCATAACCAAAATCATACTGTCAAAATAGTGTTAGTGTGACCAGCATCTAGGATCATCTCTACAGCATCGTTGTAAGCCTTTCACAGTTTCACCATACTCCGACTCCCAAGTCACTGTCAAATTGGGAGCAACATCATGCTCACTCCCCGAATTCAAACTTGCTGTTGTTGTGCTTCAATTACACGGACTTTGTTCATCATTTCGTCCTTGGCAGTATGGTCCGCGACCAGGTCGCGGCTCAACCCCTCCTCTCGCGGCCTAGTCGCGGCACCTTTTGTTGCCTGGTGCTCCTCAGCCCAGGCAGCAGTGTTGTCCGCGGCCTGGTCGCGGCTCATTGCCTCCTCCCGCGGCCTGTTGGCGGACCCTGCTGTTTAAGGCTGTATTCTCACTTTTCCACCATTGCAACTAGCTTAATTCGCAACATATAAATTACAGAGAAGAAGAGGGAAACAATATTCAGAGGAAGAAGATGGAAGTTAGAAAAATTGGGGAAATAGGAGTTTTATATAAGAACCATAGTTTTTGGGGGAGGGAAATCGTACCGTTTTAATTGTGTTGGAGGGAAATTATGTAACTATGGTTAGTCCAATTAACTTAATTATGTTAGTTTTAGTAAAATAATGCTATATTAGAGAGTAATTAGATTACAAATGCAATTTAAGAAATTTTTTAAAAAAAATTGCTACCAATGAGAATGTGCAATAGTTTGTTGCTACCAATGAGAATTTCCCTTATTATTATTATGATTATTATGAACATGATTATGATTATTTTTATGATTATTTTTATTATTATTACTATTATGATTATAATTGTTATTATTATTATTATTATTATTATTATTATTATTATTATTATTATTATGTTGCTTAATTTTATTGTTATTGCTTGATCACGCCTTTTATTGCATGTTTAAAGGGAATTTGTACTTGTAAGATAATTAATAATCTTGTTTAGGGTTAATATGATTATAATTCAAGTGATCTCCAATAATAGATTTATTTGTGCATTAATATTCAACCAACATAGTTAAACAGATTTAGGGTAAACCTATTAATTGCATGTTAGTCAGAAAGTGCACATGAATACGATCAGAATAAAGTAGAGGCCTATTATTAGGCAAGTTCAATCTCTTTTAGGTTGGATTTGTACCTCCATCCCCGAACTAGCAGTCATTGTTCCAGACCTATTGGAGTTGACGATCTCCCGGATCGTTAAGTGGTGTAACCTTCACCTCGTGAACGGTTTACAAGTTCCTAACGGATACGTAGGCAACCTTACATCACGGTGCGGCCGTAATAAACATGCATTCATGATCATATCAAGGGATCCCCTGTGCTCATCCCTATTCATTTAGAGCTAGACTTGGAGGCTTGTTCCCTACATCATTAGCTTACCCAACCTAAGAGTCACCATCATTTGACTCTTTTCAATTTATTTTTCCTTACACTTAGCCTTTGCGGCCTAACTTTAGTATCACTTTCACACACATCACAGATACACGACCAAATATACTTCCCTTAGGAACCCTTTTTCATGAAATCTTAACACAACGTTGAAGCATGCCTTGTCATGTCAAAATCGTTCATCACTCATCATTGCATCGAAGTATGAAGTGCTTAGCCTCCGTGCCTAAGTTACCCAAATACTTTCATCATTGAGTCAACAATTGAGATAGCCTAGGATGAATTAATCCTTTCACCTTGAGAGATAGTATCAAACAACATTTGACTAAGCTCATTCAGCATGCACCTTCAAAAACTTCGATTCTTTCTTTTTTTGCGTCTTTCTTTTTCAGGAGAAAGTCGGTACCCTCCACAAAAATGACGGAAATTTTTTTGCTTTTTTGCATTTTTGAGTCGCCATGATAACATTACAATGCACACACGAGTCATGTACACATTGAGTCATGTTGTGATATCACATTGAGTCAACACTATGCACACACGAGTCACATCGAGTCGAGTCAACCTCGAGTCATTCAATCAGTGAGTCAAGTTTATACCTTGAGTCATGAGTCAAGCAACCCTAAGATAATTAAAGAGATTAGCAAAGTCCTATAGTCAAAGATAAATACAGGTGCATCTCAGCGGCAGCAAGAGAAGAATAGGGAAGACCCTACTCCAGCACCAGACGACGACATCCAGCGTCTGGCAGCAGGTTTCAGCGCCTGACGCTAGATCCTAGCGTTTGGCGACAGAGCCAATTCTTGGCGCCAGAGATATTTCAGCAGCGACAGAGCTCGAAGCCTCTCAGGATGATTATTTCGATCTCGTACAGCAATTTTGGGTTCCTTGGTACGCCAGTTAGCCCCTATAAGCAATTTGACATGATTAAGTAGTCGGCTTGATTACAATCGCAATAAGTGATCGACCTGATGAATGATTGTCTCACTTAGCTTAGAGCGCCTAAGCATTGGCTCAGCAAAGGCACCAACATAATGGTTTATACAATTCAAAATATCGACATATTGGTTCAGAAGACACCGACATACTGGTTCAGAAGCACCGACATACTGGTTCATAAACAGCAGAGACACTGACATAATGGCTCACAAGCAGCAAAAGCGCCGACGTACTGGCATAGTGGAAGCAAAGTTCAATCTAGCTTTAATGATCGACAAGCGTTGGTCTTCGGTAGTTTTCTTCGGAATATTATCGCAACAACTAAAGATGACATCAAGAGAGGTTATTTTAGACAGCATTCGCTAAGATTGTGGAGGTTGTCACCAAGATTTGAGAAGATAGCACCAGATGGGCGGTCTTCGACAACATATGCTAAGATTATGGAGGTTGTCACCAAGATTTGAGAAGATAGCATGAGATGGGCAGTCTTCGAAGGCATTCGCTAAGATTGTGGAGGTTGTCACCAAGATTTGAGAAGGGCGGTTCGTGATGAGGCGGTCTTCGGCGACTTTTGCTATGATAAGGAAGGTTATCGCTATGATTCAAGAAAAAGAAGCTCTTTGTTCAGAGACGTGTGGACATATCCAAAAAAAAGCTCTATTGTTCAGAGACAATGAACATCAAAACAGCAAGATGGCGTTCCATATATTGTGGAAGGTTGTCAACAACAGCAAATACAGCAACAAATCGATTATTTCCAGAGACGCGTGCTCGACGGTGCAAGATACGCGTTTCTTAACTCTCTTTTCTGTTTGACTAACGCTAGTTTGCAGGTATTGGCGTTACAAGAATGATTTAGGATCACAGAATGTTCTGAATCATTCTCCGTCCCTATTGATAATTTGACTTTTTGTTTTCGAAACTTGCGTTTCTCCAAACTCAGTCAAAGTGGGGGCTTCTATAGACACCCATTTGTGTCTCCCCAAAACCAAACCCAGTGATGAATACCTTTCACGTCATTTGATTATCGAACATAGCGAAAGTGTGAAAAGTCTAGTGATGAGGATGTTTTTATTAAAATATATCTTCTTTCTGTTTTTGAAAATATTTCTTTTCTTACCCTATTTTGAAAAACGTGCATTCTAGTTTAGTTTGGTCAATGACAAGGGTCCAATAATAGTGTAGTTGGATAGGGCTTGAAAAGATTCCAACGATATATTATAAGCCCAATTCCGATGAATAATAAGGAAGTTATGACCAAAATACTAAACCGGGCCCAAACCGGATTTTACCTACGACCCAATGATCATGTGGAGGGTTCAAAGGTCTAATCCTATTCCTAAAATAATTAGGATTAAATGGAATCTTATATATGTTTCTAAAAGATCTTAATTATCCTTTTTGAAAAGATAAGATTAAAGAATTTGAGTTAAATAAAAACTTTCCTTTTTTTTATATCCTAATTCTATTCGAATTTAAAGATGTTCAAAGACAGTCAGATTTTATTTTTTTGTCTCATAATATTTATCTAAATTTTATATGGTTGGATATATATTGAAATTATATTTCCAATGATATATTATAATATTAAATCTGAGCTATAACGAAAAAGATATGAATGATATATGAAACTCTATCCAAAACTGACACCCTTCCACTATTTCGTCCATATCTTTTTATCTAAAAAATATTTTAATCTTATTATAATTGGGTTGGAAATTAGACTTCAATAGCTTTCAAACGACATATTATATGTCTTATTTGGACTTATGAATCAAAAGATATGATAAAAACAATACCCGCAAAAACTGCTGTCCATCGAGTTTTATTTCGATTCGAATTCGGATTCTTTTCTTATTCTTCAACCCTCTTTTTCTCTATAAGTAGAGGTCATATATCCCCTTTTTCAATCATAAATTCTCAACAATAATCAATTTCCATCAACTCTCATCAAGAATTTCTTGATTCTCTCTCCCTCTTTTCTATCCTAGCCTTTTACAAACA